TATTTAGGATGAGGTATGAGAAAGGTAGGGCCGCGGTAGTGCCAAGGAGAAACATCTGTTCCTACCTCTCTACTCACCTAGCGACTAAGCAAATACTGTATCACTCTGTTTTTAACTTTAAGCTTTATCAAAAAGGAAAGTTTTAAGCCTAGCCTTAAAAGTACAGTAGACAGAGTGTCTGCGTCACGGATTAATACTGGTAGCTGGTTCAACAGGAGAGGAGCCTGATGACTAAAAGATCCACCATCAGCCAATCAAAGCATTCGTTCCAGATATTTTATCCATTTAAAAAAAACTGCCCAAGAGGAGTATTTGCAGCATCCCTGGGCACAAGTTTAAACAAATAAAAAGTTAAGATTTTGTTACATATAAAATAAGATGTAATAAACTCCTGACTTATACCCTTAGAAACGGTTGGCCATATGTAAACGTCCTGTTCTTTTAAAGCACTTTTGCAAGTAAAGGACTTGACCAAAGCGCTTTACTCTTCATCCAGGCTTTCACTCACACACTGATGGCTGCAAGCTACATTGTAGCCACAGCTGCCCTGCTGCTCACTGGTAGAAGCGGGGCTGCAGTACATCTGCGCCACCAGTCCCTCCAACCAACATCAGTAGGCAATGCAGAGAAAGTGTCTTGCCCAAGGACACTGAAAGCCTTGAAAGGTCAACACTTGGGTTGCAGGGCAGAGTCCTTCTTCCAAAACCTACGGTCGTTATACCTCATTCTAAAAAGCCACAAATTCAAAACAATTCAGGTTAAAGGTTTAGGGCCTAGCTAACCCTGAAATAGAACTAATAAAATAATTCTTTATGCCTTGCGTAAAATATTTTCAACCCAAAACCATCTGGAGAAACCCTTAGTGTTGGTTCTCATATTGATAATCTAGACTACTTCAACCCTCCCCTATTCTATCACATATTTCATTTCTCTCTCTGCTGTGATATTTGTTGATTTAAGACACTGTTAGGTTTATTATTTATACATTATGTGCATTGTTATTCTGTTAGCCAGATTAGACAGAGTAGAAGGCCTTCCTTCACATTGTGGATGTCACTGTGTGTACGGAGGTCATCTAATCAGGACAGCCTTCGTGTCTTAAAGAGTACACAGGATATGGGCACATCTTGGAGCCGGTCTGATAGAGGAGAGCGATCTGTAACCCTGAGGCATAGAATCAAGCTGCATATGGGTCAGGGCATTGAAGGCGTGTCAGTTTCTGATACGGACAGCTAAGCTTCCACGTGATGCAACACATAGACTCACAAGGTATACGAAGCAGGAGATTACCTTGTTCGGGACTCAATCTTTGCGGGACGCTCGCGGATGTGATTTTTGAGCTCACAGCTGTGCAAGCTCAAAGCATTTTTCTCTGTCCTGTAATGACCTGATCTGGAATAAACTCTGTTACTTTTTACTCCTGTTTTATAGTCCTTTTTATATGTTTTACCCAGTTTGAGTTAAGAGTAGTAAATAACTTGCTCCCAGGAAAAGGGAGGAAGCCCCCCGAGGCACAACGGCTTTTCTAGGGGACATAACTTCCTCATTTTAACAACACTTAAAAAAATTAAACTGTTTACTAATAATAACTGTTATTATGTAACTCAGGGAGACCCGGGCACAAAGGGAGAAAAAGGACAGAGTGGAGATCCTGGCATGCCTGGAAATCCTGGTCCCCCAGGCAGAAAGGGTCATACAGGGATGATGGGTATGTCGGGACCACCAGGTGAAATCGGAGCCCCAGGGCCTCAGGGACCTTCAGGAAATCCTGGGCTCCCAGGACCCAGGGTGAGTCGTGTCTGTGCAAAGGCAATAAAAGCGGAAAGCACAAACAGCATTGATTGCTGAGTCACTTATTAACATTTGTGTCTCTTTAGGGGGAGTCAGTGTCACTGGAGCAGATGAGAAGGCTTGTCCAGGAGGAGCTGGCCAAGCAATTAGATGGTGAGGAAACAATTATTTTGTCTTTATGTCTATTAAAAACCTTTATTTTTCTTCTTGGAAAATGTAGCATAACTGTGTTTGAAGTTTTTAAGAACTGCTAACTTTTTTTTCTTCCTATTCAGCCAAAATAGCTTACCTCATGGCTCAGATCCAGCCTTCCCATGTAAAGAGTACAGCGGGTCGTCCTGGACCACCAGGCCCTCCAGGTAAAGAAGGCAGCCCCGGGCGACAAGGCCCACCCGGAGAACCGGGTATGCCTGGACAAAATGGAGGCGAAGGCCCGAGGGGACCCATGGGCCCTAAGGGTAAGACAAATACTCTAGGTTTTCCCTACAGACATACTCTGGTTTTGAAATAAGAAAAAAATGGCTGTTCTAATCTGCTAATGGATTCAAATTCCTTATTATAACGATACATATTTAAAACGCCTATGGTAGTTTCTCAAATATGAAATAATAGTTTTACATTTTTATCTAAAGTTTTCACTTTCTTAATTTATTTGAGGTGTTACATTAAGCAGGGCCTCATCAAGGATATTTAGAGGTTTGAACAGACAACCAGATACTTATCTGAAGAGTTTATTGTGTTTATTCTCAGCATCAATTTCTTAAATGGTAAAACAATACAAATTAAGCACATTGCATATAATCTCCTCTCTAGACAGGACCTAAAATCTACCTTCAATGCAAAACCAAGACTTTCACTGGGTTTTTTGAAGACATCTGAACAGCTATCCAGAAGGCTCATTCAGTTCATCGGCCCCCATGGGAGCAATCTGTAGTTTGAGTGATGATGTCTTGTAGTTGGAGTTTTTAAGTTTCAGGAGGTCCATCCTACCAGATACATTCAAATCAAACTCCCAGGCAGATGCAAATCAAAGACCCACCCGTCGTCCAGTTGTTGGAGTCTTTTGTTGTGTGTATGGGTTATGTGTTTGGACATTTACCTAATGATGAGTGTGTTTGTGTGATTTTACTTAAACAGGTAAACACATAACCCATACTCAAAAAAAAATTTCAACGGGTTGGACTTAATTTGTATCTGACTTGTAAGGAAAATAAACTTCCTGCAGCTTCAATTCCGGATTGCTTTAGAGCAGAGGTCACAGATTGGAATCCTGACCCACCTGCTGGCTAAATCG